TGGCAATTAATTTGGTTTCCTTTGAGAATTGCTGGTTCATTCGTCCCGCTGGTGCTCCACAGCGGTTGGAGCATCCAAGTTAAGAGTTTCAGACTTTCTGGGCTAATTGGAGTTACTCTGGATTTGCACCAGTAGAACACTGGGGCAGTCAGCAGAGTTACTTTGCAGTCACACCAACATAAATCCGATGTGGTTCCTTGACTGGCTCCTCAATTCCACCCCAGTGTAAACCTGGAGTAATCCTATTGGCCTTTCTGCAGTTATTCCTCAATTACATCCCAATAAATCCATTGAACTAAATCCATCAGTTTATTACTCCGTTACACCGGTGGGAACCTGGAGTAATTGAACTGAGTCAACCTCTCTTACTCTGGGTTTACAAAGTGTAAATCTAGTGAAGCTGCTGGACTTACTTCACTTTACGCTAGCATACTTCGAAAGTACACACTGCTGGCTGAAGTGGAGTCACTCTGGGTTTACACTGGGGGTCACTGAGATCAGACTCCAGCCCTGATTCCATGGACTCTGGAAGGGTCAGTCTGGATGTACACGTCAGACTCTGGATTCCTGATTATATAGGTTCAAGTCCCATATAGGATTATGCATCTTCTCACCTTCCCTGGGGGAGAAATTGATCTCTCTGGCCTTGGACCAGCTGAGCATCTGTCAGATGAGTAAAGCTATGAATCTGTGACATGCCCCCCCCCAAGCTGCTCAGCCCCTGAAGAAGGTGGGGGACCCCCCCCTCCCAGCTCCCAGCCCCGTGGGCAGCAGGGGGACCATGGCAGCTGGTCAGCTGCTGCGAGCGGCAAGCCACCCCTCCAGCTCCTAGTCACCATGGGAGGTGGGGGGACTCCCCAGCTCCCAGCCACTGGGCAGGGGGGGCCGCAGCTCCCAGCTGTTGCATGCAATGGGGCAGGGTGCTGGACCCTCCTCCCTCCCCATTTTGTCAGGGATGTTTTTAGTAAAAGTCGGGGACAGGTCACGGCTTCCCTGAATTTTTGTTTATGGCCCGTGACCTGTCCCCGACTTTTACTAAAAATATCCATGAGGAAACTGTACCCTCACGGATGAGCCGTTGCAGACTGCTGACGTGCCACTTTGAGTGAGTTGTGAGGTTCCCGGGGGAAATGGGTCTCCCGCCGTCTCTTGGCAATGAACGCTGAAGATGTTCTGGGCTGGAAGTTAAAGGTGCCAGATGGCCCCTTGGTGCGACCGGGCGGAGCTCAGTTGCATCCAGCGCTGACTTGCACCACTCGGGGCTCTGGCTCCATGGGCCCCAACGGAGCGACGTCCGAATGACACTAGCTGTGGATCTAGC